GACTGTTTCTGGAGCAGCAGATCTAAATTTGTACACAGCTTTATCTAAATATGTTCAGTTCTGCGAGTTCTTCTAGAGGAAACGTGTCATCGTGTCTTTGCTGAAGTGTGTCAGACTTCAGCAAAGAGTCTAAACTTAGACAAATGCAGCAGAAATAACCGACAGTTGTCAAAAGACATAAAATATCTTTAGACAGACAATTGGACAGATAGGTATAATAATTAGCCAAAACGTAGCTGAGAGGAATTGGCAGAAGTTAGAACAAAATATAACAAAATAGCCAACAACAAGTTGGGTACAAACAAAATAATGGAATAGTAGCTTAATGTTAACCATGCAAAACAGATATTAAAAGTTCATCAAAAACATCAAATCCTCCTTTTTGATTAACTTGAATTATTTTCCAGCTAACTTGCTGCTATTTTGCTAATTTTCATCCAAGAGTATCTCAATTTTTAGCTTAATGTTTTGAGTTGATGGTCAGATATTTCTTACTTGTTGCTGGCAAGACATATGTATTGGTTTCCCATAGAGTCATCTGAGGTTGTTCAACATTAGATTTGTACGACCTTGTTTTGCTGTGTTTGTTTTTTGCGCAACATTACAACTCATGCTAAGTTATCAGTTTAACATAGTAGTGCTATCTTATCATGGTCATTATATTTCATTTTGAGTAGAAATGATTAATAAAAACATATTTAAAAAAACGAGATGAACAAAGTTCTACACATAGAGGTCTTTTTTTTTCTAATTTAAGAAAAATTGACAGACTTACTTATAAATAGACTGCATTTTTTTTCCCTCTTCCGAAAGTCTGGAAGAAACTAGTTCTATTTCTGTAGCATCAACAGGCAGTGGAGCCACTTCTGGTCCGTCTTTTTTTTAGCCAACCACCTTAACGTTTTTTTAAGCTCCCACATTCCCCGGCAGAACAAACAGTTCCTTTCTTTGCTTCCATTTCCCCCCCATTCGTCCATCAGAGTAATTGCACTCTATCTCCAGGAATAGAAAAGATCTGCCACATTCTGTCAAGGAGCCAGTGGTTAAAGTGTCCTTCACCAGACCATTCCTACAGCCTACAGGAGTTTGGCTGCCGTCTCAACAGTTGGAGAAGTTGTTTGCACCTCAAATGTGTTGCCCAAGTTGGATTTTTCTGCCCCAGAATTCAAGAGACAGAGAAGGTTTTCGGTGTTCTGACTCAACACATGAATCATTTCATGTCCAAGAATACGGCTTTCAGTGATTCCCTGTGAATAAAATAAAAAAGTCCCACAATGAATAAAAAAGTCCCACGGTGGCTGCTTTAGCTCAATATTTTAATGGGGAAAGAAAAACAGATGATTACAGTACGACGACGATGATGTAGCACAACGAGGAACATGAAAACTAGTGTGGAATACAAGCTGGAAATCACAAAGGTGCAACTTCTATCAAATACTTCTTTCTGTGTATTTTCTCTTTCTACTTCATATTCTCAAAGTCGAACACGGTGTCATCCGCGAACACCCTCATGTATGAATGAAATGAAATCTTTCCC